AACTTCAGCCTTGAAAATACTGACTTTACACATATTTAATTGTGCTCCAATTTCAATCGGTTCTTATAAACCGTGGAATCCAAACATGGCTTTCATCTAGCAAGCATGACTCAATGAACTGTTCTGGCAAGCAGCATTACTAGAAAAGTTTCTATTTAGCCGATTATTTGACGCAAATATAGTACTGATTCATTAATTGATAAAACTATGCCTCATTTTCATGCAAATTGATATACAATACAACGAGAAAACAAAGAGAATCCTTTTCAGATTTTGATGGGTGTGTTGAGGGACTACACGGCTGCAGTGCTGACGCTGTGTGTTACAATACCAAGGGATCTTACAGATGTACTTGTAAACCAGAATACCATGGAGATGGATTGACGTGCAAAGGTAAGATTTTCAAAGTATGAATAACGAGGCTAAGGGTGGACTTCCATTTCCCGGGAATGAAGGAGGTTAATGAGAATTGAAAGAAAAAAAATTGAAAACAAAACCTAGACGATCATGACTTTGAACCCTTCCCACAAAGCAATGAAAAACAGCGATAACTTAAGAGGTACCATCTCTCCCCGCTTTAGTAATCTAGTACATATGTTATTCATGAATAAAACAAAGAACATTCTCTTCAGATATTGATGAGTGTGCTGAAGGATCGCACAGCTACAGTGCTGACGCTGTGTGTAACAATACCATGGGATCTTATATATATACATGTAAACCTGGATACCATGGAAATGGATTGACTTGTGAAGGTAAGATTTTAAGAGTATGAGTAACCAAGCTAAGGGTGGACTTCTTTATCCCGGGGGTGAAAAGGACTAATGAAAATTAAAAAAAAAAGCAAAAAAACCCTAGGCAATCGTGAATTGGGACCCTTTCCACAAAGCAATGAAACACGGCGATAACTGAAGAGCTTCCATCTCTCCCCACTTCTGTAAACTAGCACATGTTATTGATGAAGAAAACAAAGAAAAATATTTTTCAGATTCTGATGAGTGTGCTGAAGGATCTCACAGCTGCAGTGCTGACGCTGTGTGTAACAATACCCAGGGATATTACATATGTGCATGACTAAACAAGCTAAGGATGGACTTGTATATCCCGGGGATGAAAGGGGCTAATGAAAATTATAAGAAAAAAAAAATTAAAAAAACCTAGACGATCATTATCTTTGAAACACAGCGATAACTGAAGAAGTCCATCTTTCCCCACTTTGGTAAACGAGTACATATTTTATTGATGAGTAAAACAAAGAAAATTATTTTTCAGATTTTGAGAAAGTGAAAGTGAAAGTGAATGATTCGATACCTTAATAGCAACATAGACTGAATTGCTAAGGTCTACAGTGTTACCAAGGGTGAGATCAGACGTTAGCATTATCAGGCGCCTCTTGCAGCCGCCTTAGTCCATGTAACGACCTAACCTTTTCCCCCCACACATTCCGCCCCAGGGGAGAACATCCATCACACAGTAATCTCGTGTGTGAGAAACTAACGTCTCCTACCCCTAGCCCTGCAGGTGACGGAAATTCCATTCGTCCTTGACCGAGAAGACTAGAATATCTATCCATTTCATCGATGTTATAGAAAGGTAGCAAATTCTCCTCAGTTATTTTCAGACCATGAGTTATTGGTCCGGCCGGGGCTCGAACCCTCGACCTCCCTCACAACACAATCCGGCGCTCTAACCAATGGGGCTAACCTGAAGGATCACACAGCTACAGTGCTGATGCTGTGTGTAACAATACCAAGGGATTTTACATATGTACATGTAAACCTGGATACCATGGAGATGGATTGACTTGTGGAGGTGAGATGTTCAAAGTATGAGTAAACATGTTTAGGGTGGACCTGTATACCCCGGGGATGAAAGGGACTGATGAAAATTAAATAAAAAACCTAGAAGATCATGAATTTGGACGCTTTCCAAAAAGCAATGAAACACATCGATAACTGAAGAGGTTCTATCTCTCCCCACTTTGGAAACTATTGCATATGTTGTTGATGAACAAACAAAGAAAATTATTTTCAGAATTTGATGAGTGTGCTGAAGGATCACACAGCTGCAGTGCTGACGCTGTGTGTTACAATACCAAGGGATCTTACAGATGTACATGTAAACATGGATACCATGGAGATGGATTGACGTGCAAAGGTAAGATTTTCCAAGTATGAGTAAACATGTTTAGGGTGGACTTGTATATCTCGGGGATGACAGGGGCTGATGAAAAGTCCAGAAAGAAAAACCTATGCTATCATGAATGTGGACCCCTCGCACAAAGCAATGAAACATAGCGACGACTGAAAAGGTTTCATCTCTCCCCACTTTGGAAACTATTAGATATGTTATTGATAAATAAAAAAATGTGCTATAGGATTACTTAGCTTTAGTGCTGATGCTGCATGCAACAATACCAGGGAGTCTTACAGATGTACATAACATAACATAACATACAACAACAAACATTTATCATCTACGGGTTTATCATCTACGGGTTTATGTCGAATTAATTTGATGGCCTGCTCCCAGTTGGCTTGTTAGCTCAATTGGTAGAGCGCTGCACTAGTATCGCAGGTCAGTGGTTCGAATCCCGTACAGGCCTGAATTTTTTTTTCAGGTCTGATTTTCACTATTGCTTAAATAGTGCTTTACTGCGAAGAATCATGCACATATACGAAGAAAGCAGTCTCTTCTTCAAGAAAGACAGAAGACATCGTTTAAGAAGAGAAGTTGCATCCATTGCCAACAAACAAGCCGATCTTTTTTTCTCTTTAAGCTTAAGGATGCGTGAGTACTTTTCAGCACCACTGCAAAGTGTTGCGGCGTATACAGTACGGCAAGTGCATATTTACAGGGGAAAGGCGCTCGCTTCTCGACAAGGCCAAGATGCCTTTGAAAAACATCAGGAAGGATCTAGTGCATAGACCTATATTGCCACTTCTGAGATTGCAGAGTAAAGAATTCAGGCGTTACCGTAATCG